GAATTATATAGTGTGACTCACCTTCACTGAACTCTATGTAATTAAGATAGAGGAAATTGCAGTAATGAAGATTGCATACAAGCATTAGAGCGGTGTGGCAAAGCTGCGAGTGTCTCCTCCACTCAGAGACACTATTTGTGAACTGCAGAGACAGGCAGACCCAGTCCCTCTCCTGGGGCTCAGGGTTTTGTGCAGCACATTCTGAACCTGACAGAAAATCTAATGAAGAGCTACCTGACAAGATCCCAACATTCGCCTCATCCAAATGTCAAGGGTTTTAGAAGAAACACAGGAGGCAGGAGTTATTGTTAAACTGACGCATTGTTAGACTGAAGTGTTTTGGGTGGATCACATTACATCCTGACAATTTAGATTAACAATTGCAGTAAAGTGAAGGGAAACTAAGATAAGAGATCTTTTATTTTTGTCCCACTGAGGGGAAATTCCAATGTTGCAACTCACAGTTCAAGCACAGCAGGAGAATGAATAATGCAATGTAAAATTAAGATAACCACGATAAATAACTATTACAAACAGTCGTAAATCAAACACAACACTGTGCAAGTAGAGTAAAAATGTAAGAAATCATATGGAAAGTATAAGAAACACATAGCAGAGAACGTCACTTATACTGTATTGTAAACATTATGATACAGTATTGCTCATGTTTAATATAGGTGAACTAGCAGTGTTCATTGTACACTTGGATACAAAAAGGTACAAACCTGGTCTACATGTGAAATATTTTTGAAGTAAATACAGATGATAAACAATAATACTAAAATCGACGTACTTAAAGGTTGTATGGAGGATTTTTTTTTTTGTTTCAAATTGTCAATGATAGCATTATAGAGGTGCAGTAGCCTTGTAATTATGATGACCAAAAAAAAGAGAATAAAAATTCATCAACTCTGGACGTGGTGGGGCTAAACATTTGCCAATACGACACTGCCTCGTTATCTGTTAGCTGATAGGCTGTCAATCAATCTCCCTACGTTTCTAGCGTAACTGACTTGCCTGCGCACGCCGGTACGTGGTTTACGTACGTCTGTCACACAGTCCACAGACGCAAGCCGCACAGACGCTGTTTACCCCACCAACGCAACAGTTCTTAGCGGCTTTTTTTGACCTATATCTTCCTCGCAGTTAGCACAAAGTTTGTTGCAATGGCAGACAAGAATCCAGGAGCAGTTAGCCGCAAAAGAAAGTCCGTTTTTGAGGTCGCTGAAAGAAGAAGACAAGGGGAAAAGCAGCGAAGCCAAACTAAGGTGATTCTTGAAGATTCATTCCAGCGATGGCGCGACTGAAGCAGACGCAGGGTCTAAAGACTGACGCACTGGTCGCCAAATTACTCCTGGACAGGTAACTTCTGCTTATTATGAAAACGTACTTTATTTCCAAGAGCTAGAAAAACGTTTTTTCAGGACACGAAAGCAATATCCTATGTCTGAAAACGTAATTTTCAAGGCAAAGAAAGAGTCCGCTTGCTGCTGCGTGTTGTAGCTTGTTCATTCGCACTGAATCTCCGCGCAACCTTCTCTGCTCCCCTTTCCTGCTCCTGTCCCCGCTGCCCGTTCCGCTCTTCCCCCTGCTCCTCACTTCTCCGGGCACGGAATCTCCGTGCACCGCTCCCCTCTCCTCTCTCCTCTCCTCTCTCCCTGCTCCGCTCTTCTCCCTGCTCCTCACTTCTCCGCCTTGCCTAACCAACACTGTAGTTAGTTGTTTACAAGTCATGTGCAGCGCACCGGCTGTAAACAAACCTGTTTCTGGCGTAAAGAGGAGGCGGGAGAAGGCGTTTCTACGTAGGAGCTGTAGGGGAGGGGGGTGGTTTCACGCATGCGCAACATTTGAAAAAGGACAAACAGTCGCTGGATTTCTCGTTCCTTGGAAAATCCTCTATACAACCTTTAATGAACAACCAGTGGCGGAGTTAACATTTGGGGGGCCCAGGGCGAACTTGAGTTTGGGGCCCTCACTATAATACACTGTTTTGTTTTTTGTTTGGGGTTTTTACATTTTTTTTTATATTTATTGTCTCTTTTTCCCCATTGTTCTTGAGACATGCACATCTCTGTTTGAATTATGGTGGATTGGAAACTTGTGTTAGATAACCAGAGCTGAAGGAAGTTTTTTTTTTTTTGCTAGTACAATTATATGATTCTGATTATGTTCAAATCAGGGTCACGCTAACTCTTCGATTTTAATGTGAAAGGGGGGATTGCTTTGACAGTTAAAATAGATTTAATAGTCAGATATTATTTTGATGTTGTTTTATTGTTTAAAATCAAACTACACCCATTTAATGTCATATTGAGAGAAAAATCTAATTGCTTTGAGGCCTTGACCAGTACTGGCACTGAGGGCAATCGGTTGGGGGCCCCTCCAGGTTCGGGGGGCCCCCAACCGCATCTGTGTACAACATTGAAAAAAAAAAAATGAACTGCAAAAAAAAAAAAAAAAAAAAAGCAGAATACAACAGTTAAGCAATTAGTTTGTAATTATAATGAGTCACAGAAGTTCAACATTCTACGCTGAACTTTCATCATAGTGCATAAAAAAACAAAAATTGTCCCACTAGTATAAAAGAAAAAGGCCCCACGATAAATACTGACCCCCAAAAATCATTTCCCTGTCATGTACTCGATGATAAGTTGATATAGTAATTATAGTGACAGGCCTACGTGTATTACAATTTTGTAGAGATTGTTAGATTGTTGTTTATAACCAACAAAGTGAACCCATTTGTAAAAGCCAAAATCATGAAGTAGGGACTCTCCATTAAAGCTTATGACTAAAACATGATATTCTCTGTTCATCACACCTATTTATATGCAGTGTTATTCTACTGTGCCGCTGTCGTAGAGGTTTAAAAATAACCTCGATTTCTCAATACCATTCAAATATCAGAGGCACTTTTATGACTTCTAAGCAAACATAACATTCTAACAAAATTCATGAATGCCCTTGTGTCTGGACTTTGCTAGCCAATTCTTTATCAACATGGGTTATAAAACACAAAATAAAATATTTGGAATAGCTTTACAAACGTTTACAGCATCATTTTGCGAAACACAGCTGTCTTCGTAAGAAAGAGCTTTGACAATAAAAGGTAATATGTTTCTCCTGAAGACTAGAAATGCAGCCAGAGTCTTGGAGATGCGTGAATGATCATGATGGTAAAACATGCTTTGCAGAATACAATACACTGGCCTCCTTACTCTGACAGCACATCTACATGCACATAAAGTATATTCGGTTCATGGTTTCTGCTCTCAGAGGGTCAGCTCTCATTAAACCAGTGATGTGCCCGATTTATACAACAGAATACCAATAGGGCTGCTCACTCATCTACACCGATTCAGTCTTTATAGCCCCGTAACCCTTATCTCTCAGCACACAGTAAATTTAAATGTGTAAAAATGAGCTAATATAAGAAGATGGGAAAGGTTTACTGCAGGTAATGTATAAGGAGTCAAGCCTTGTGAATAATTAACACAGAAGAAACATGCTCTCCCCTCGCTCCTGACAGAAATGCCATAGTCCATACATAAAGCTGTACCATTACCACTGTTACGTCAGTATCACTCTTTTGCAATAAATGCCCATTTTAAACAGGTAACATTACATAATCCCTTTAATAAGAAAAAAAAAACAAAACACTTTTGGCCAACAAGTCAGAGAAGTCCAGCTGTTTGCATTTACCATGTTCAGTGAAAGAAATGGGTTTCTTTCAGATATCACAAATATATACAGAGATCAAACTTTCCGTCTGGTTAATGACAAAGAAATGAACACTGTGCGATTATCTCACTTTTGTCTCCTGGTTTAAAGAACATCAAAGCCTGAGTTACAGGGAGGTTCAGTGTGGAATTAAACAGACTTTATAAATAGTTGGTTTCATTGTGTGGGTCGTCTGCTGCCCTCACAGACCCAAAGCACATTGATGTAATTTGGTCCATTCGCAGCAAAGCCCCTTCTCTTAAATCATGTCTCTGAGCTCCTCCATTTCTCCACACACTGCCACCCAGGTGGCTCTAGCTGTCCTGTGCAGCCAAACAGAATTAAGACCGAATTTAAAACTCAATGAGCCTAATAATTAAACTTTAATGGACAGCATAAAGTACCCAGCACCTTTTAAATGCTGTTGTCACTACCAAGCTACCAGCTGTGGACTCTTTTACACAGGACAGATACATCACTATTAACCCCATTTACTTTTCAAAAAGAGTGAAAGTTCATGGAGCATTAAGAAGAGCCTGTATCACACTAAAACAGCACCTCACACACATAACATGCACAGTATCTGAAATGCAGAGGTTAATCTATGATAGACCAGACTCCACAGTGCACAACCTCTCAGAGGAAATCACCAAATGAAAATAAGGCACAGCTCTGTTTGTGTTCCAAGAGCAGAGTTGATTAAAGAAACAAAGACGTCCATATCCAGCTTTGTGAACATGGGAGCAGACCATATACATATAATATTGTGTAGACTAATTAAAAGTTCAAACAAATACTTCTGTAGCTGACTTGCAAACACTGCCTTCTTTGGCTTGAATAATTTTGTAATGAATTATGACAACTTTTAAATAAGTAATTACCAGATTTGAAATTTTAAAGTAACCAGATCAAAAACATGTGGAAACACCCCTCTTAGACAGATGCACTTCACAGATCAAAAACTATAGAAAAATTATCCACATAAGCAGCAAAAGCAACAGGTAAAGCAGTCACTCAGCATTTCTCAGAGTGTGTGGGCTGTGAGTCGACTGCAAAACATTACATAACTCTACAGCACATAATTGAACAGAATATCTTGTGACATGCAGCTACGCAGCACTTTCTGTAAAACAACCTAATAGCAAATACAAAGGTAAAGTGCAAAATGTTTCAAGCAATCCAACAAGAGTATCATTCATTTCCAGATGAATGTAAAGAACGTGTATTTTATAAACATTACCAGCAGAGGGCAACAAATAGCAACTTTTGATTGTTCTTACCAGCATTGACTATGGCATCCACCTCCAGGAGCGTGATGTCTCCTTTGTAGAGGGATACTTTATCAGACAGCCCTCCTCCGCTGGTCACCTGAGTGTCCTCCTCTTCATTGTCATTAACTGAAATGCAATACCACAGAAGTATAGTTATTACTCACACTACAGGCCCACATTAAGCTTCTATAGAAAGAAGACAAGCCAAAATAATTTATCTGGTGTTTCTTAAATATTTTTCTGCTACAGAGTGCTGAGGTTTACCAAAACGATTACACTGGACACTAAATAAATAGCATCATGTAGTACCTGCATATTTCAACAATCTAACTGCAGAAATAAAATAATGATCAGAATTTTCATGTGCATGTAAACAAAGCCAGTGTTAGATCCATTCCAGCTTAGACAGGAGGAAGGATTCATTAATGGCATTAATAGGTTTTCCTTATTTTCCATATTCTAAATCTGTTTGATGCTGTAATAAAAGGCTGTTGGTCATACTGCTGTTTTCCTCTCTCCAGGTTGGGATCTTGTCCAGGGAGATGTAGTCCTGGCGACGGTACTCCTTGCGCCTTTCCTCTCGATCTAGACGGAGCAGCCTCTCTGTGGAAGACAAAGAAAAGAAATGTTTATGAATAATAATAATAATAATCTATTGGTCCAATGTAGACAGATACTCAAGGATGCTTTACAGTTTGATACATTATTAATTCTCTCCCACTGGGGCCTGATGATATGACAAAAAACCTTATTATTATCATATTTATTTATCATTGTTTTTTATTTTATTTTATTTTGTCAAATTAAAAACAAATTACATTAAATATTATTTTCCTGTAATTTATACAATAAATCAATAAATCAATAAATAACTGAACTGAACTCTCCATCAAACTATGCTTTTACTGGCACAGGATTGGGTGTGGATTTCTCAATATAAATAACAAGATGATAATTGATGTGATGAAGTAATGGATGGATCTTGATTAAAATTTGATTAATTGCACAGTCCATTGGTCATGGTAAAATACTTTTGTAGCCACATCTGCCCTGGGGTAGACTGACATGTTGCTGCTAATCTGCACCAACCATCTCTCTGACCACCAATGACACTCACACGACACAAGGTGAGTGAAAAGCACAATAACAATCCTGGTCTGAGCTGAGATTAAGCCACTCAATCACAAGAGCTAAAGCTGAGATATGTGAGTAATTGAAGTACAAATATACAATGGTATGACAGAAGAAAGAAGGCCCTTTAGTCTGATAACAAAAGACATCAGATGGGCTCTCTGGCTTCCTACAACTGCTTTTATTCCACAGTAATGAATTAAAGGGAATGAAACATTGCTGTGCTTTCTGGACTAAGAAACAAAGAAGTTCCTGTTACTAAAGTTACAGGCTTGATGAAGCTACACTGTAGTCATTATTCATTCACTCCACACTTGGTGGTGGTAAAGTAGGATTGCAGCTGTATCTGCCCTGGGATAGACTGATGGAAGGGGAGGCTGCCAACCAGCACCAATCACTCATACACACACTCATATACACACACACACACACCACATTCATACTGGATGCGGAGTGTCTCCCCTAAGGACACAACGGCAGAACTTGGTCCAAGCAGGAATCAAACTTCCAAACTTCCAGTTGGAGGATGAGTGCTTTAACCTCTGAGCCACAGTTGTGTTTATAGTATATAAATATAAGTATAGTATATAACACTGTAGTGTAATAGATGCATTTGACCTTAGTGACCCAGCAGCCCACTGGGTTGTTCTATGGCTCTTTTTGATTACGACTTTATGTTGCTTAAGCAAATACATCTCATGGATGTTTGGCACAGCTGCCAGTCACTTACAATTTTCCATGTTCGATTCTGAACTCTATAGTGCAAGAATTCAAATGGAAATGTATAGTGGAAATAAAGGATATATACTTTAATAAATACAGATTAGGCAGGACAATTCCTGTGATGTGATGCTGTACAGATGTAGGAAAACAAAATGTACTCTTTGAAATAAAATAAATAAATAAATAAATCGAATGCTGCACCTTTAATGCAATATTTAAGCAGATGGTATTTCCCTTTACTCCACCTTCTGTTCCTAACATTGTTCTTTTGTTTTTACAAATTACTATTCAGAGCATCTCCCAGGCTTTGCTCAAGGCCTATAACTACAAAAAGTAAGTCGAGTGCAATACAATGATAAGTCTCAGGATCATCAACATTTGGGCTTGCCTTGATCTTCTCTTACAGCAGTTTGAGCTTGACTGCTTGAAGGCTATATGCTCTGAATATTAAATCAGATTTACTTTGATGTTCGGATCATGCTGCTACCTGCTCAGCCTAGAAATGGGGGCTAAAATTAATTACTACCTTTACTATAGCAGTGATAATCATTATTACCCATACATATTCATCTGTCTAATTTGAGCCACCATAATCACTGATTTATATGGAAAGTAAGCATCCTGTGCAACTGCTCCTCCATCCACTACAGCTCCCTCTGACATTACAACCGTGGAGTGCCTTGCCCAAGGGCACCATGATTCCATTAACTTTAGCAGTGATTAAATTCCCAACATAACTGGACAAAGTTCTCAACCCTTCTGACTGAGCAACTCCCTTAGTGGGGCCACTTTTTTTAGTTTCATTTTGTGAAAAGTGAAAGTAGTTGCATTGCGCATGCTCAGTAAGTAACACGTATCCCTAATTTGCACCTGCCAAGACCTCAACTGGGCAGGTGTAAGCACAGACAGCAACAGATAATAATAAGCACCACTCAATGTTCTGTTTTGATTTGCTCATTCTACATTTGATCAGGTTTAGCCTCCAGTAGTGCCTCATGTATGGTAGGTTCCCAAAGCACGTGGTGGCTCGAGTTTCAATTTACAATCGCACCTGCTATTTGTAAAACCTAAGACAACACTAAATCTGTGGACAGAAATTGCCCTTAATGAAACAGTATACAGCAACAGCAACAGTAACAAGAAATGCAGTTAGAAAGATGTTTACAAGCTGTGTTTACCTGGTAGGCTAAATCAAAGAGCTATGTCCCATCACACAGGTGGAAGGAAGGATTAGTTTGGTTGTCTAAGCCCGTAGACTGCTTGAATAATTAGGGATCAGGGATGGAGTAGGAGCGTTTTAAATGTAAGCTAATAATCTTGCAAAAAAGAAACGTGGGGATGCCGAATGTTTTGCAGATGATCCAACATGCACTGGGGTAACAAAACACCGCGCAACATCCCAATAACATCTGTACAGCTGCCGTGAAGGATGCACAATCAGTTCCCAGCCATAGACAGGAGACGGGGACGCGCTGTCAATCTCCTGCTATGGACGAAAATCATGCTGTCTGCCATAGAGATGAGGATAGCTTGATACTACCCAAAAGAAGCCTTACCTTTCTCATTCTTCCAGTCCTTTTTCTTTTTGCTCATACTTCCGGAATGATTAGACTTTGAATGGTTGTTTTTTGAGTGTGACAACCCCAGGCTCACAGTAAATAGTGATCCGGAGGGAAAGTGAAAAGCAAAGTGAAACAGCCTCTTCACGGTTGTCTCACCTGTGAAGCTGTCAAATTTCTATGGACCTCAGTGGGCTCAACCTACCGTGATTGCAGCGTAAATTATGTGTACGGATTCCAGGCGTGTGATAGGTTATAAGGAACAAGGAAGTGGGTGTGTGATTGGTGAAAGGTTTCTGTCAATCCTGGGTGGGTCCACAGTCTGGTCTGGGGGGTAGGTTGTGCGCATTAGTTCATCCTCTTGGCGTGAGGAGGCAGAGCAAGCGCGCGGGGAAATGCCAAGTTGAGCCTGATGGTCTGTCAACAAGATATCCTTATCTTTTCATATGGTTAGTTGAAATAATAATAGTAATAATTAGGAAATTCCACTACATAAAACAACATATTCTGAACTGAGTTTTAAATGTTATAGGATTTGCAGCAGCAACAGTGTACTGAAGACATTTATTATCAATTAAGGGCTATTACCTTATTCAATACATGTAACAAATAAAATAAAATATAAATAAACACATTTATTACTTTCATAAAATGTGGCCTAAACAGTGTTATAAAGTTAAACACCCAGAAATTAATGATAAGGAGCAGAAAAAATTGCATCTTATATTATCTGCAATCGTTAAATAAATAAAATAAAATAAATAATAAAATATTATAAATAAATAAATACATGTACTCATTTATGTGTTAGAAGCTCACAAAATATACTGTAAATCATAACAACCTTCTATTGTTCTCTGGCTTATGCTGTATTCTGAGGGATAGAGGAGATCAGTACTAAGTCAGGCTGTCATATGGGCCAGGCTGGTTCCAGAGACCACCGTCTGTCATCTGTTGTGCTGCACTGCTCCGGTCCAGACCCATCTGCTCGAACTAACCCACAAGGGATAGGCAATTTTATCCAAACTGGACTTTGATCCATTTCAGTTTGAATTCCATCCAAATGTTAAAATATTTGCAGAGTTTTGAGGAGTTAAGGGGCTTCTCCCTCAGATACTGGACAAGTGTTTCAATGCTTTAGGCCTATGTTTGTACTTCCTCAGACATGCAAAATAGGCTACTGTTTGGGGGGATTTTAATACTTAAATTGAATGTTTGACTAACGTGCTAAAACAAACCTCTTTGGTCTTAGTAACTTCACATTTTATCAGTTACCAGTTTTTATCAGTTATATTTTATACCACACCCTTTTGAAAGATTAGCACAAGCTGCATGCAAAGTGAAACGAACTGACAATTCACTTTTATGAAAGTTGAACTTTGCTGCACATTTCCAAAGTTGCCACTAGATGTCAGTGTTGCATAATAATCTTGGCAATGGCCGAGTATTAAAAAAAAAGAAAAGAAGAACTTTCTCATTTCAATGTATTGTTATATGTATTGTTATAATATGTTTGTATTTCTCATTTGAATTTTTTGGGGGTTTTCCCAGTTGTTGTTTTTTTTTTTTTTTTTTCGTACTTTATATGCAGTCCAATATTTTAGAGTCTTCATGAATGCCAATTGTATTACACTTTTTTTTTTTTTTTTTTTTTGCATTTATGTAAACAAGAGCAGAGCTTGTTAGTACTTTCTTGTCCCTGTAAGCATTTGTCCTATTCAGTGCTCTGTACTGACTATGACTTTGTCCAGATACCAGTAAGTTCTGTTTGTTTTATTTTTGTAAAGAAAAGGTTATTTCACAGAACATCAGATTTGCTCTAGGGGGACTTCCCTTCTACTCCAAATTGTAGTCTTACTCTGGTAAGAGTTTATATTTGATCAATGACTAATAGATGGAACTTGTGAGCTTTTATGCAACTTTATGTAAGCTATCATTTTATTGGGAGTGTTGTTATGTCATGTATTGTGAATTATTTTTTTATCTATGATAAACACAGAAGGTCAAACTTGGCTATCTTGTTCTAATAGTTCTTTGGGCGAATACAGAGGAGGATCTATTTGTGTGCTGTGTAGGCTATAGTCATGGTTACAGCACCAAGTTCAAGCCAAAGTCTGAACCCAACGGGCTGCACCTACAAGTCATGAGTCAGAAATGTTGTTGTCTTAATTTGTATGTTTTTGTATTCCACTTCAAAATCATAGCAACATAATAACAGCTTGCACTTATCTGCAGCAAAATGCAGAAATTGATCCAAAGGCCTCAGGGCAAATAAACTAGCTACAACAAGATATTCTTTTTTATAATTTCCCTTTAACTTAATTTTGATGATCTTACATATCATATGTCAGTATGATTTATATAGTATGGTCACACATTATTTGTATCATGCATTTGGTGGTTTCATAGATAAACAAAATATTAGTCAAGGGGAAAATCAACACATTTTAAGCATCCTTTTGCACATCCTTGAGGCGATCAGCTGACAGCATTCATTGTAACCCACCTTGTTTACGTAACATAGCTCTTGCCAATAAATATTCAAAGGATTAAAGGAAACATTTCTTAGTGCTGCATGCAACAGTTAATTTAATGATTTGCTTAGTCAAAGTTGTTTTGTCTGATTGCATAGAGTGTATACATTCAGCTATGCATGTATGCTTCATCAGTGAGTTTCCAATACTGTCAGTGCTGCAGGTCTTTGATCCCACTCTGCCCACCCTGAATACAAAAACAGAGTGTGACCTGGTGGTTTCTGTGGGCTTGTGGTAACCTTTTAAATCAACCCTCCTCTGCCCATATCATTTTGTGTCTTCTATATTTGGCTCATCTGTCTGACAGATGTGAACTCGCTGTTTTGATTAACCAACAGAGCTGAACACTGTAAAAGGACAGGCGTTTGCTCAAAGCCTCTTATATTAGCTCTTCTATGCCAGTTGTAACACTAAGGGTCATTAGTTTTAAGAAAAGCATTTTAGCCCCACAGCTATTGACTGTATATGTAGATACCTGCAACACAGATTCTCAACACAGTCCAACAGGGTTATATGCTAAATCACTTTACACTGAAGCTGTTAATACTGGGGGGAGGCATCTGTATTGTATGGTCACATTGGGTTTGACTATTCTTTTTCTTTGAAAAAACAAACAACAACAAATTGTGATTTTTGGTAAAATGTGTTTCTACAGCTGTTTATTTAAGCATCTCTTTCGTGCCATGCGTCCTCACAAAGAACTTGTCAAATGATACAACATCAAAAATGTAGCACCTGTCATCACTGAATAAACACAAAGTACAACTATGAAATAATATTTTTGTAAGAACATGAACCTCACTGTGTCCCGTCCCGTCCCCCGCCTTTTTTTTTGACTGTATATTAAATACATTTCAGCATATAGTCTTACAGATTGTAGCCATATTTCATCAGGAATTATAAACAATAATTTTAAGTTTACATTCTTAGAGTATTAGGATTTTTTTTTACTTTTTATCTTTGGAGCCATACATACTTGTAGCCTGTAGCTTTCTTTCCTAGCAAATACATTCAGGTATAAACACAAGAAGTACGTGCTTTATTTTATAATACTTGAAAGTTTATAAATATTGCGTTTTGCATTATGCACAAAATGGATTTGCATTTCGTGCAAACAACTGCACTGTTTACTCCCGCCTGTACCACGTGGACCCCCTCTTCGCGCACTTCCTTAGCAACGTATATCTGAACCAGGAAGTAGTTCCCTGAGCTACAGCGAAGTGTTCTGCAGCAAAACCATGGATGTATAAAAATGACACTGAAGTTCATCTGTTTCAGACTTAGAGCTTCTAACGATGAGGATGAGCCGTAGACACGAACCGGAATGAAGCTGCCGGTGTCTTTCAGTTGTTGAGGGTCGGTCGATGTAAGTTGTGGTTGTTTTTTTGCTCTGCTTGCGAGCTTTTGGCTAACAAGCTAGCCATCTGACTGCTAGCTTGGCATGTAATAACTTTAATTTACATTTCACAATGAATAATAGTCGCTTCCAATTCTCCTAAACATTTAATCTTTCTGTCTGTTTCTGTCTGCACAGATTTTTTTGTAAAATTTGTATTGATCGTAATTAATTGTAGTTCATTATGACTAGTCTAAATTAAACCTGTTAACTATGTGATTGTTATTGTTTATAAGACAGTGAATGTAGATTCAAGAATCCATACATGCAGTACTACTAAACCCGCACGAACAGACATTTTATAAAAGGGTATTAACAAAACATTATGTGATTACTTACAGGAATGGTATAGTCTAGCAGAGCTAGTTTCATTATTAATATTGATGACTTTTGAATAATAAATTATGCATATTAATAATTCATTTGTCATTTTTACAGGGCAATACGTCTTCCCTGGCACTCTAGGATGGGCCATGATAGGCTTTTCAAGTAATGTGGGGGTTATGGCAAGTCTAACAAACTCTGAAGAACAGCAGTCACCCTTTGTTTTGTCCAATTCATGGCCCCAAACCCAGGACTCAAACAAGAAGTGGAAAGGTTTAGGTGGATTTGTTTTGGTTCATGCAGGTAATTGAGACTGGCTTACTATAAATATAAGCACTGCACAAATCATTTGGAGTATACTTGACATATAAAGCATTTTGATAAGAAGCCTTTTGCTTTTAGGAGCAGGATATCATTCAGAATCTAAAGCCAAGGAATACAAGCATGTGTGCAAAAGAGCCTGTCAGAAGGTGAGCCTACATACTACTTAAATATATTACTTAAACATACTAAATATTACAACTTAAGCCACTGAAGTTATATTTTTGTGATCATATATTGTTTAAAAATATGTCATTTTCCTTTATTTCAGGCTGTTGACCAGCTCAAATCTGGTGCCCTGGCCGTGGAAGCTGTTGCAGCAGCCTTGGTTGAGGTTGTTTTTAACTTATATTTGTACCAATTATTTAAGTCAGCTGATAAAATATAATGATACACACAGCATCTGTTGCATGGATTTATTTAATAACTTTGGGTAACACCCTGTCAGTTAGTTTATTGCATCCTTTTACTGTTTTATGTTCAGTTGAATGATGTCAGTTTAAATCTCCTTAGGGTAAGGATTGGTTCTGGTGAATGTTAAAGCATAAAAACAGACTGTCAAAAAGCCTTATTAAACACTAACATAGAATTTAATCTTCAGTGTTTTTTTATACAGTTTAAACTGCAGCAGAATCTTAGTCAAGACAAAATACTGATTTTATTTTCTGCAGGATTCCCCCTTTACAAATGCTGGCATGGGCTCTAACCTGAATTTATCAGGGGAAATTGAATGCGATGCTAGTATCATGGATGGGAAGTCTCTGCATTATGGTGCTGTCGGTGCGATTAGTGGTGAGTATTCACATTCAGACAACATGAATGTAGACGTGCATGTTGTGGTGATATAGCCCTTGTTCAGCTCACATTACATTACCACATACATAATCTATCCTTTTACATATCTCAAGTTTGAATATTTATTTTAGTATGAGTTGGACCTAATAAAGTAATTGTATCACTAAAATCTAAATCGTTACTGTTTCCTCAGGTATCAAAAACCCCATCTTAGTTGCCAATCGCTTATTAACCGAGGCACAGAAAGGGAAGCTCTCCGCTGGCAGAATCCCTCCCTGGTAATTATGACTGTTTAAATCCTTATGGTAACATAGAACAGGGGTTTCAATCGGCTGTGTTAGTTTTTTAGTGGGACAGGGAGCTCAAGACTGGGCTGTTTGCCACGGAATACCTCCTTGTCCTTCAGAGAAAATGACCACCAGTGAGTAGAGACACACACACACTGCACAACTTTTATTAGGCACACTCAGTCTCTAATAAACCTCAGAGATTTAACAAAGATATAAACGTAAATTGTGGTGTGAGTTTAAATGTACGAGTTTCACATGGGTGTCGGTCTGAATGTCTGGGGCAAGATCATTCAGTGAGATTTTTCCCTAATTACACCATATGGATTTTAATATATGTTAATATTTTGATTACTATTGTAGTTTGGTCAGGTAATGAGATCAGGTGACACAAATTATATTTATTAAAAATGTCCACTTGACTTCACTTTTTACTGTTTGCATTGCTGTATTCCTAACCAAAGGTACTGTCTGAAATATTTGTGCTTTGTTATTTACTTATCTTAATTTATAAGCTCTGTATTGGCGGTACCATTAAAAACACTGGTTGTGAAGCTAAAATGTCTTATGTTACATGCAGAGTTCAGTTTGTCTGCCTATAAGAGGAACAAGCGGAAGATGGAGCTGGCAGAGAAAATGGACATGGGGCATAATCAGGCCAAGAGGAGACGACAATCAAGCGGAAACGTGAGTGGTGATGTTTTAAAATGATGCAGATTACAGTGTCCTGGTTAAAAGGGCCTCTGACAGCCTGCAACTAAGACATCAAGATATGTTCTGCCAGTTATGATCTCACATTCTTCAAGGGTCATTAAGGGAAAATGCTATTGCAGGTTGCTTAGATAGTTTCCAAGAAATGATTCAAGCGTTGACAAGAGTTGGTGTTAGGTTTCAGTGCCCTTAACAGCACATATGTGAAGGCCGCAACGCTAAGTTAGAAGCAGCTGAAAGCAAGCGCAATTTGTTCTCAGCTCACTAGAGCCAGAAAGCTACTACTTAGCTGAGTAAGATAACATTGATTTTATGAATGCAGTGCAAGTGTAGAAATGTACTTGTACTGGTTGTCAGAAAACTGTGCTTGCGCAATATTGGATTTTAGAGTCAAATTACCATTGTTTTTATATTGTATATTTGGTTTATATTGTTTAATATTAGCAGATGATTTAATTTGTACATATGTTTATATTCCTTTACATTATTACATTTACATTCCTCTTACATTTTGACAGTATTATGCAACATGAGTGTATCTCAGTCCCACCTCCTTCATTTCATTGCAAAGTTTACTCTACTGAAACCATTCTTGTCTTCAGAACACAACTCCTTAAGACGGCCGGTTTAACTAAAGCTTAAGTGTAGCAAGTCTGTTTCCAATCTCAATACAAATAGACCTTGTTCTGCCTCTGTCTTGTGCCAAGCCATAAAATGTGTTCATTCTTGTGAAGTAATATAGACACCTGTCTCCTGGTTTAGTATTGTTATGGACACTTTTAGAGACCTTTAAGTTTAAGCTTTTGTCTTTAATGTAGATATAGTCTCCACAATTAGGACGTTGATAAGAAATGACAAGAGGTTATTGGCGTGGTTTGAAAAGGCTGGCTCTGTTTCTTCTTGGCTTCAAATGCTGGAGACAAAACTGATTTGGGGAGAAAGGAACAAATGAAAGAGACTGTTGCTGTTTTTGCTCTGCCTTATTAGTCCAGTTTTAGTGATGCTCTCTGTGCGGCTCTCATCATGTATCACTATGACATGCAGCATATTTAGCCTGAAGAAGTCTTTTCTTTGGCAGCCTGAGTCATGACACGAAACCGGTGGCTTCCAAAATAAACTGTAATCAGGGAAAGAGACCAAATTATTAAAAATGATATATGATATGATATAATTATAATAGTGTAATGCAATTTTTGTTTTGTTTGATATATGATTTTGTATTGCATATTTGCCAGGTTAATATTACAGATCAAATCAGCAAATGTAAAGGCATTGGTGATAAATGTTTTTCTTTCTGACTACAGGCTATCCTATATTTGTTTTGTTTGTCTAATTTGTCTACTTAATTTGATTTTGAAAGTTATTAAAATAATTACTGTGACAGGAAAATGGATCCGGGTGCCTTGACACAGTGGGAGCTGTAGTTGTGGATCTTGAAGGTAATGTTGCAGCAGCAGTGTCCAGTGGAGGCCTCGCCATGAAACATCCAGGCAGAGTTGGACAGGTACAGTTTTCAATTATTTTATTTTTCCAGCTTTTGCCTCATACACCCAGCACATATACTTATCATGCTACTTCTTACATTAGTTTACCACCACAAAAATGTGTTCTTTTGTGATTTAATTATTATGTGTAATTTAAAATGCAGCACCAATATTTGATATACTGATAAAGAAAAAGATTATTCAAATACTTTTAATCTTTCACTCCTCAGGCAGCTCATTATGGATGTGGATGCTGGGCTGAAAATGCCAACGACATGATTTCCTATTCTACAGCAGTGAGCACTTCAGGTAAATAATAACGTTTTTTAAATCACCTTTTTGTTGTATTTTTCTCAATCAACCCAAAACTGACAAGACGTACAATATCTGCCATGTAAATATGATTAAATCCATCTTGTCCTTGTTCTCTTTGCATGTAAATGATTTGAATATTAAACAAGGCTGTGTTATGTTTAGTTTATTGCTCATTATAAATTAGGACTATAAATAAGGCCTCTTCTTCCACAGTGTCCAGTGTTTACTCCTGGCTTTAGCTCTAGTGATGACAAGTTTCAGAGACAGATATTTAATGTGTATTGTTTTGCGTCAGTGTGCGGCGCTTCAAAAGACCAGATAATACTTTCCGATGACCTCCATACACTCCTGTCGACTGATTCTCTTCTGTCATTTCCCCGTCTGATTGAGTCATCATACTCTGCTCTTTGGGGCTCAGCTGCACGCCAGGTGCCGTGCGGTGCGTCTTGGATTAGCAACATAGTTTGACACTTGATACGGATACGGGAGGGTGAATCCAAGGAAGAATAGTATTGTGCTTTGGGTTGAGTGTGATAGTAGTTGTAGAGATGTGTCTATGAAATTTGAAGAAAGGTACTGAATGCCTTTTTATTTATTTGTATTTATTTATTGAATAGGGACAATTCATATTAATGAACAGTTCTAACGTTACAAAAAGACATCATATTGAACAGTAAAAGTCCAGAGTTAAATGCTCACAGACTTTGTTTTCCCTTATCCACAGTTTATGGTGCAGTCTGAGAGTGGACAGTGATGGACTTTTTCTTATAGTCAGTGGAAGAATATTCCAGCATTAGTCCTTTTGACACAGTCCAAATAGACTGTTTATCAGTCTGCATCAGTCCCCTCGGGCTATGGCCCTGCTGCCCAGCCCACTTTTGTAGATTGTTACATCCAGTTTTGGAGGCTGTGTCATTTTGAGAATACAGTAAAGCTTAATGTGCCAGATTTACTTCAACTACTATTTAAGTTGCATCTTTGCACTTTAGATTCTAAGGCTAAACATCCATGGTTTCCAGCTGTCTTAGTTATGATTACTAAATAATTTATGCAACATACACCTTTTTCTTTACATAGACTTTCCTACTGTACAATGCGTGATACAGTGAATATGGCCATGTTTTTTTGTCTCCACTCTGAAGTCCATATAGTGGGCGTCAGTTCAAACTACCATCTTAAACACAGCCAGTTGCAGTTTGGTCTCTTGTGGGTGTGATCAAAAGCTCTGCACAAAATGGGAAGTGCAATAGGCCAGAGTACCCACCTACTCACTCCAACCAGTACTCATTTACTACTATTAAAGACTACTGTATTTTTACTGCATTGTGTGGCTTGGCTTATATTAAAACATATACACAAACTTTGAGCAAAGACCATTCACTATTCAGAGAAGTGAAGTTGACATAACGCCTCAACTTTAGTCACCCCCTTTGACAATGAGACAGTATCACCCAAGGCACTGTCTGCTTAGCCTCTTAACTCACGCAGACACAGACTTTAACAAAGCCTGCTTATTTTTAGAGACAGTCTTTTCTAAAACTTAAACACTTAAAAGAGAATGATTTAAGACAGATCTGTATGGCATTGAAAGACTATATTATATTTGGCTCCACTTGAGGATGTGAAGACATGTGCGTGGAACATCGCTTCTGGGCAATATTTAAACTCTTTTTGAAGTGGATGTGTCGTCTAATGCATTACAGTGCAGATGGGCTGATTCAGTCTGACATTGTGGGTCATAATGTGTATCAGGGGCATTTTGAAGCCAGCGTTTATGTGATCACCAGTAATCAGTGTAACATAGGACCTGATGGCTTTATAGTGAGTAGCTATTAGATGTAAACAAATATCAGAATATGCTCTGATGACATTTACTGCTGCCATTATACTATAGCCTTATCTATTTGGATCTTAAAGGTCCTAAATTAGGCAAAATTGACTCTTGCCATGTTAGAATGTTGTTACCTCAAAAAACATACCTGGAGTTGTGTTTTGTTTTATTCACACATCTTTTAGTAACTCTTTTGGTCAGTAGAGGTTAGGCTGAAATTACCCAAATGATTCTAGTGACTGTGTGTGGAGTTAAAAAAGTGGACACTGGAGAGTGTTTTCAATCTGAGAGAAGAATTCAGCATAAATGTATAGGGTTTGTAAGTTTAGCATGTGTGAATGAAACAACACATCTCCAGGTATGTCCTTGCCAGCATTAACATTACACTATAGATCAGCCAATAGTGCAATAAGCCCTTTAAATGTGTTGAATCAGATTTTTACTTTCTTAAAACCATAAAAATCAGAACTAGTTCCTGTTAACTTGTTTGGAGTGGCCCAACGTATTCCTTACCTTACCTTATGAATTCAGAGCATGCTAAATACTCACTTTGATGAGTTTATAAGCACATTTGACAACTTTCAGGGGTCAGAGAGTTGTTTTACTGTTACAGTAAAGCTAATAACAACTTGCATGCTAATTGCACACTTCCTGATACTTGCACAGTGCAGACTGGGACAAATATATGGTAATACTTAATAGTATAGAGCTTTTGTCAACGAATCGATTGGCATTACATGTGTTTAGTTGACCAAGAGTTTCTTTACTGCCCTACAAATTAGTGCGAGGTTTAAAAGATGCTCAATAAAGATCAAATGTGCGCCCTCTGTCTGTCATCTAACAACCTACTGTCAACTATATTGTCATCTCACAACCTTTTCTATTAGGAAAGTATAAAAAAAAATGCTCACAGATCATAGTGTACTTTTTGGTACTAACATATTGAATTGTTATCACCTATGACCAAATAATCCGTGTATCATTTGTTCATTCATTTTTCAAAATAAAACCAAAAATAAGAAAACTATTTTCTTCCAAAATCAAAATGAAAAAACAGATAACAATTTGTTTTTTCAGTTTTTGATTTTGTGTTTGAATGAATACTGGAAACAACAGATAACAGACATTTCCCGTTTCTGTGATTTAAATTGCGATGCCGAACCTTTGCGCCACATACGGACTGAACCAGAACTGAACCAAGACTGAAAAAGGACTAAAACCAGGTCTAAATCAGGTCTAAACCAGAACTGAACCAGGACTAAACCAGGTCTCAGTCTCTGTCCTGCTCTGGTCCCGGTCTCAGTCCTGGTCTCACTCCCAATCTGGTTCCAGTCTGGTCCCAGTCTCAGTCCTGATCCCCTAACAGTCTATGCGGGCACACCTCTGGGACACTCTTCCTCTCTCAGTCCTCTTTCAGTCCTGGTTTAGTCCTAGTTCAGTCCGTATGTGGCGCAAAAGTCCGGCATCACAGTTTAAGTCACGGAAACGGGAAACCGTTATTTTCCGTTATCCGTTTTTTTTTTTTTCATTTATTCATTTAAACACAAAATCGAAAACTGAAAAAAACAAATCGTTATCTGTTTTTCTTCATTTTGATTTTGGAGACAAATAATGAAGAAAATTGTTGTTTTTTCATTTTCTTATTTTTGGTTTTATTTTGAGAAACAAATGATACACAGATTCCAAGTGTTCGTGATTTGTCCTTTTTTCCATCAAGAATACAGCGTTATATTAAAGTTATATTAAAAATCAATATAACTTCATGTAATGGCAATCAGTGATATAAATGGGCAATGTTTAGTGAATTTAATTTAACTGAATATCCCAAAACTTAATGAAACCTACAACATTTTCAGTTTAATATTTCTGAGTTCAAAGTCTATGTCAATATTATTTGTCATGCCTTCGCCCCGGGAGATGTGGCGTGGATGTTTAGCCTGCACATTTTTTCAGCCTATAATGTCTTCCTATATTGTGGCTGTGCCTTTGATGTACCCCTCACAACGGGACCAAGCGCATAATGTGTGTTCCAGTGCAACACCTGTTTTTAATTTCCCAACATGAAAGGCATTCCCATCAGACGCTACAGAACAACAATCATTTTTATTCTGACACACGGAGCACTGTACGCTGCTCACCCTCTTGTGTCAGCCTCTTTTCCGCCTCAGCCCTTTAACTACAGCCACCCTTTCATTGGGATGTTTATTAGTAATGTACAGCTCATGTGGGGCGTTTGTTTCATGCACCCTGACAGCTCCCATCCGGTTTACACTTTGCTGTGGTGAGTGACGAAGCAGCCAACAAATGTCAGAGCCGTTCCTCCCAAACTGTCAGTGAAACCATGGGTAATTGCAATTTTTCTGACCAATATTGTTGTGATAATGATGACACTTGCATTTTTTTCTTTTTTTACATCTTAAGATTCAAGTACACATTTTAACATGTAAATGAGGAATAACATTTGAGACTAGATTGAAGTAGGACATTGAAACTGCTAAACTAATACAAAAATGACATGCTTTTCTGAAAGTTCTTAGAGCTCTTAACAGCATTAGCAGTTTTTATGATATGACGAAAGTATGTTTTGTCATTGCATAAGACTTATATTTTTCAGATAAATACAGGTGTGAGACTTTGTAGTTGTGGCCTAGCCTGATTCATCAGCTTTACTTCGATTCACTTTCTACAAACCGTCTGACCTCGCAGTGTTAGAATTTGTTCGCTCGACGGTAAGCGGGTACTTTTTATCATTTAACCAATCGCTGCTATTTGGTTGTGACGTATGTAATGCACCGCTAACGGGGCTAACTAGTATATTAAGCTTTTCCCAAATCCCGTTGGAAGAAGGGCAATAACGTCTTTCCCCTTATGAAATTCACCATACATTCTCTTTATTCTGGCTTTAAATCCTCGATCCCAGGAATCATTGACAACCCTGAATATATGGCTCTTCGCTGACTGGCTGGTGCCCGAACTCGCATTTTCGGGTTTTTTTTCGAACCGTCTATTGTATTTTGATTCCTGATCTAGTTGCTGGAGATAAATTGAGCGGAGGCACTAGGTGGCACCAGCATGGCTAGTTGAGGCCTTTCCTATTGTAATTTTGATTCAATGGCAGTAATTTGTCCAGCTCTATATTCCAACCTGATTATGCAGAGTAATGATGAATAAGTAAAAGTGATTCAGCTATTTTGGTGAAGTTTCCCACCTACTCCTATTGGTGAGCTTCTGTAAGCCTCTGCGTGAGTGACAGGTGGATTTAACCAATCCAAGTGAAGTCCAGTCTCTCCGAAGCAGCAGTTAGTTTGGCAATATGAATACAACAATACCATGGGCATGAATTGCGAGCAAATTGAAATCATGATCTAGGCTATAAACATTCTAGTATGAAATGTTTGGCCTATCCAAACATTTACCCACCCCTACCATGACTTCATCTAGTTTACTCTTGTGAGTGGCAGAGCAGCCAACAAATGTTAAAGCCTTCACCCCCACTGTCAGCTATCACACACACCGTCACACTAAACCTCTCTTTACATGCACTTTTATTGAATTACTGCCCGCTTTGCCGCTGGTGTGACCGAGCGGCAATGACTACCAATTCCCCAAGTGCTTTATGGTAAACAAACTACAAAAGCCTAAGTACCTGGCCAAAAGCTCTGCTCTCGTTTAACAAGAACGTGAAATTACTGCAGGCATCTGGTCTCCACGGTAACTGACTTGCATTTGAGTTTTGTTGTAGTTACCTGACATTTTATGGGCCCCTCATTCGTGTTTACAGAAACAACACGGCCATTTTCTGGTGTCTTTATAGGCTTACAGAGAAGCCGGGCCAGATGTGTTTGTGATCACTCCTGGAATTGTCAGCTCTCCTTTGTGCACAACACCCCATGCCGCCTTCTACACATTTTATATCAACATTCTTTATGCAAACAGGCAGGGTTTGCTCATGCACACTGAATGGGTTAGAAAAGTAAGGTTCTCAAGCTGGGAAGCCACTGTTTAAACACAATGTTTCTCAGTTTGTTTGTCATTTCTAGCCTTGAATTATATCTCATATTCCTGTCAGTGGTGTTGTTTTATCATTGCATTGTATTACTTTACCAATCTGGAATGGTTACCTTTATTTCATATTGATATTTAGATGACAAAGTACAATTATTAATATACAATCATGTAATTGTGGTGATTGAGTGACTGTCTTTGGACTAAATTTTGATGATGTATATAAGTAATATTATATTAAAATGCTTTGTTCAATTACCAAGTAACTACTGTTTTAGTCATTTTGTTAATGTTATGAAGTTTCTTATTTGAAACTTCCTTTGCTTCAAGGAGTAAAGGTTGAAGTATTGAGTGATTTCTGTTTCAAATCCCCACACCAGCTGGAAATCTGAGTGCAGAAAACAAGAACACGCTTTGTGCTGGAACAATTACCCTTGAGCAAGGCGATTGTGCAGAGCTTTGTCTTCAGAACTAAAGTTAAGGCATTCAGGAATAAAAGTGTGTTACACATCTACTGCAAACGCACAGCTTTTGAAAGATTTTCCATGATCTGATTTATAATAAGATAATGACTGTAGCAAGCATCAAAGGATTTCCAATAATCATATGTGCCCACAATGACCTCTGGAATCTTTACTGTGTGATTAATGCCATATTATTGTAATATTTGTGAAACATATTTTCTATTCAAGTGAAATCTGGAGGCTCTTGGAATGCTCAGACTTTGCCAAACACGAATCTGGATCCATACCAAAAATGATTTGTTTTCCTCATTTATGAACTTAACATCTTAAAATTGATTTGAAATTCGGCATGTTTTTTATGTTATCTGTAGAAAATCCTTTTATTAGTTGACTTTAAGAATACCTTTGATTTAGGTAACATTGTGCACTATCCATTTGTTAAAAAGATACCAACTGGCCCATAGAGTTTATGCCAAAAAAAATTGCAAATACTTCATGGTGAGTTGCTTGTACATTTGACGTGCAAATTAGGCATGCAGCACAAATGTCTATTATTGTCTTGTATGTCTAGAATTCCCTTTTGTCTGTGTCCTTTGCCAGGCTGTGGGGAGCATCTGATTCGCACCATGCTGGCCCGGGAATGCTCCTCTGCCATGCAGTCCGAAGATGCCCACCAAGCGCTGCTGGAAGCTATGCAAAACAAATTCATCAGTGAGTCACTCATTTGCACCGGAGTCTTTTCCATGTACACAAAACTTAGTCAGCCAAGAATGTGTTTGTGAGTGTGCTGTGTGATACATGGGGAAATTACACCAGCAGACATTTGGAGCATGGGAAGGGAAGGAATTAAAGTAACAAGTGGAAAGTAAAGTCATACATGAAATCTGTTGGTTTATTTGGTCATGAAATGTTCCAGACACTATAGTAAACACTGTTTTGTTATTTTGACATGTTTTGTTGCACATAGACAAAAGTGTTTTTATCTCTGATTATTCAAATGATCTTAAAATAATCCAGTGAGTCGTATAATTAACATCAAATATATACATTTCAGATTATTTGACCTATTATGCAAAATGTACTTTTTAGAGTGTTTAACCATGTCGTAATTGTTTCCCCTTCTCATTTACCCTCTCAAAGTAGTGATTTGGGCATGTTTGAGTAATCTTTATACTGTATTCAAGATGTCATAGCCCCAATCTACCACCCTTTTCACAACCAGCGGCATACGCCCACTGCTCTGTACTTACATCATTCTTCAATTTTATTTTTTTACCCTGTGATACACGTGGGATTCAGCAGCGTCACATAGACATTTTGCGTGATTTGCTGCTATCCATCGGAATAGCTCTTTGTTGTGATGACATTTATGGGGATGTGAGCTCCTGTTGGGTACCACAGTTTTCTAATGTTTTTTTTATTAAGCAATTTTAGATCAATATTGGGATTTAAAAGGTACAAATTATTACATAATGGTCCAGGGGTGTCATAGATTCTAACGATATAGCAGATACATGCACAATATGTCTTCTCTAAGAAAACTTTCCAGCCATAATCCTGTGGTCTTTTCTGACAATGTTAGTCTTTCTAAAGAAAAATACACACATAAATTTTGGGTCATGTTGTGTATATTGTACTTTATCATTTCTACAACAATAATATTTTCCTTTAAGTTTACCAGATACAGTAGCTTTGAGTGACTGCAAAGAAAAGCAATTCTCTTATACTGGCCCCAAAACTCAATTTCAATGCTAAAATTACTAAAAGACAAACTTTCAATTTTCAGGACTTTTTTTTACAGCAATTAACTGTCCCAGACACTGCAGCTGAGACTCAAAATATAGAAGATTTTTACATTTTCCTTGTGGTCACTTTGAGAGACACTTTTAACTGTGAATGACCACTGCACTCATAGCAGAGCAACATGTGGTGTACGGGGCCTCTCTCCGGCCTCCTTTAGAAGTCTGCACCAGTTTTTTACATGGCCATATGTAACAGCGAGACGTTTGGATATGCTGGATAAAGTCAATTTGAACTTAATTCTTCTGATGTCTCCTTTCAAGACACACATTAAACAAAGTTAAACAAAGCACATAAATCCTGCAGCAGTGAGTGTCTGCGAGTCTGTGATCTACACTGGTCTTATATGGAATAGCATAGAGGGCCCGACCACTGCCTCCTCATGTGTGGTAATACAAATGTACTGACAGAAATATTAAGGTGCCTTCTATCTAAATATTTAAAAGGCAGTGTCTTTTGGTCATGTGGATAATTTGTAAATTGCTCAATCTCTCCAAGATGAAGGTGTGTTCTTTAGATGTACAAATTCTGTCTAAAATATGTTTAAAATGTCCCATTGTTTTCTTAAGACTACTTTTATAAAGTGAAGGAATTATTCTGATGTAGAAATAAGATTACTGTCAATTATGGGGACTGTATAAATAATACCAAACAAGCAATACAGCACTTAAAATACAACAGGGTCCTGGTTTTCCTCAATTCAGTGCTTTGTCTCTGTCAAAACGCCATCGTCTTTTTAAGCCAGACCTTGTTATGTTTTACTGGCCACAGCCATCACCGACAGTGCCACTCTAAGTATATTTGTGTATATGACACCTCATTCAAATTCACCACTCTAGGGTTTACTGAAAGTGCATTTCATTAAAAAGATTTAACTCACTGAAATAGAGACACCAGTTCATAAAATTGTCATTCAAATGATCTTTGTTGAGCACTTTGCACATAAAAATATATCTGTGTTATGTCTGTGCTTGTATATTTTTATGCCTGTTTAGATGGGCATTTCTGAATAGGGAATCCACTATGTTTTGTGTGTGCAGGCTCACCCTTCCTGGCCAGTGAGGACCGGGTGTTGGGTGGGGTGATCGTCCTGCGGTGCTGCAGATGTGTGGAAGCGCAGCCATCTCAAAACATTCAGGGTTTACTGGGTACGACAGCAAATAGTACATGTTTCTACAGTCCTACATGTTTTATGGAAAAGGGTTTACAGTGGGGCAGAACTAGAGTCATTTATTTCTTCAGCTGTACGTGAAATTTGGGGAAATGTGAAGCGTTTATGTAAAACTACTTAGAAAAATAGTTTTAGGCGATATTTTCAGTTTCATGCGCTATACATGATTCTAAATGATTCTATTTAGAGTCCAGTATAAATAAAAGTATAATTCTGCCATTGACATAGTTGAAGCATAAATATACCTTACTGCTTTGCATTGCATTGGTGGATAATGTCATATGGCACTCTGGGGCACCATATAGATTAGAAATGTTTAATTGCAATAGATAAAATTGTCAAAACTAGTCACATTTATTCCTTTAAGTCTGAACATAGCTCTAAATAACATGCTTTTGCTGACAGGGGACTGACTGTAGACCTCTTAATTCAATTGTATTTTTGACTATTGAATTCAATTTTAAATTTTGTCAACATATATTTTCATTGGCAAAATTTTATCATATCAGCCCTACACACTTAATATTCATCAGTAGATATTTGGTGTTAGGGGGGCAGTATTTTGTGGTTTGCCTGGCGGGTGGTCTACTTTTAACCTACACAATCAGGGTCTGGTTTCGCACCCTTCATCTCAGATTTAGGCCGAGACCTCCCACTTTGGACTGAACCCCTAATCTCTGGACACTGCCTGCTGATTGTAACCAGGGATCCAGTTTCTCTACCTGTAGCTCTGAAGAATGCTCTAAAGCTGCCATCCAGGAATTTGACCTGTCTTACATTTTGGTCCAACCACATCCTCTCGTGCCTGCTTCGCTGATGACAATATTATGCACTTTCATTCATCTTCTTTCGCTTCTTTTGGTTATGGGTCGCTGGTAATAGAGCCCATCCTAGCTCGTATGTTTGTGAGAGACTATAGACCATGACAGTGACTGCTAGTTGTGTAAACTGACACATAATAAGTCTAACCAGCCTTCATACACATTCAGCAAAACAGTTTAGACTCACCAATCCATCTTAAAATTAGCATATGATATTATTTAATGTCAGTGGGTCCCAGAATGATATAAAATTAGGACAGCTGTCATAGCAATTTAAAACAAAATATTGTATAATGAAAAGTCCTCAAAATGCTGCCTACATACCAGAAACTGAAACCTCTGAATTCCTAACTTTGTTTTGTTTTTACAGTGGAGTTCCTTTGGAGTCACACCACAGAAAGCATGTGTGTTGGATACATGTCAGCCCAAGACAGCAAAGCAAAGGTATGTACTAAAAACATAATGCAACTCCAAATATACTGGTGTAAAATTTGAAAATATTATTTAACTGATATAAAAGACAGTGACTGAGGTAGAAGATACCTTTTAGGAGCTGTTTATAGTCCGTGACATACAGGAAGTGGACGCCTACACATTCATAGTTGAAATACAAGCGTGTAATTTCTTCCTTCTATAACTGTGCAGTGACTTCACGTTTGTGTCTGTTTCTCCAGCCAGTACAAGCTCACTGACAATATGTTCAGCTGTTACCATGGAGACACAATACACACATTAACAAACACTGACAAAAAAGTTTTATGATGCCTGAAAAAATCAAGGAAATATACAAAACGAATTTAAACTACACATTTTCAGGATCCCATTTAGATGTTTGACTGTAATTTTATTTGAGAAGGTCTTGTTTAACAGCTTTTGTAGTTCTAACTAATAACTACTATTTCTGACAGAGTAGTGCCTCCAGTTAGCATCACACCCCCAGGGAATGTTGACGAAGAATCAATATCCACTGCTGCAGAATTGTGATGTAGTTAGTAGCAACCAATAGCTAATGACCAGGGTTGTCATTTATGAAACCTTACATGAACTTCTGACTAAAATTATAAGTACGAACTAATTTTTTTTCAAACTTGCTCTTTCTCTTCTCTCTGAGCCGTCATCTCTTTGTCTCAAAAATTTTCCTGGATCGCAAAGTTAATATAGAAAGCACGTAGAAAAGCTATCTATACCATTTTCTATTTTAGATTCAATAAATGGGTAGCCTACAAGTTCCCAGTGTTGACACCGTGAGCCACAAATACTTGACGATCATAATTAAGAAGACTGGCAGGTGTTCATTATTTCACATCAAATTTACAGTGGGTTTTCTGAAGTGTGTAGCTGCCCTTTTCATATTACAGTACATTATGTCCTTCGCCTGTGAGTTGCATAAAGAGAGTCCACTGTTGTCCGAGCTGCTTCAGATTTCAAAGCTTTAGTCTGTCCCGCCTCTCTGCTCACCTGTCTCTCTCTCCTCTTTCTCTCACCCACTCACTCTCTTCTTCTCTCTCCATCCATGGCCCTGTTCCTTTGCTCTGCCTGGCCCTTCCCTATGCTTGGTTTTGGTAACGTTCACTAGGAGTCATTCACAGTGGGGATATCAATATCAATCTGCATATTTGTCAGATGTGCTATGTAGAGGAATGTGCCAAGTGCTCTTCTCTTTTTTCACACTTGTGCCAAAAGCAAAAGATGAACGCACAGGTCGGATGAGTATTCACACTCGGCCCTAGTTAAAGTTTGATTTCCCTTTATTCTGTAGCTAGTGTCTTCAACATGAAATTACAAAAGTGGCTGCATCCAATATATTATGTGATTAGATTTTGCTCATGGCACTCTCGGGATATCAACACTTATTATTAAATGAGGTCTTAGGAATGTCTCTCTCTGGATATATTTCATTTTCAACGTCTTGGTTTAAAGGTGCACTATATAACTTCTCTGGTGTTGGGGATCTGTCGCATGCTTGTCTCCAATGAGATGTAATCATGAGATGTAATAGTTTTGCTTTGGAATGTTCCACAGAATGGCATTAAAGTGATCTATCTTGCAATTATACAATTCCAGATTGTAAAAAATGTGCTTTCTTACTGTGAATAGGAACACTCCACAGATCTGACCTGTAACTTGCTTTGATGGTGCCACCCACTTGCTTCCATGGAGATATATAATGCCATACTGTGTAATATTTCAAGTCAAGTCAAGCAGCTGACATACCCTGAAAAATTCCTTAGTGCAGCTTTAAGGTTAATATATTTGCAACAATTTTTTTTTTTTTACTTCATACCCTCCCGGGAGTAGTAATTAATATAGCAATTTTGTGGACTTAGACCCTAATTTTTTTTTTTATATTGTCCATGCAAATTGACTCAAACATAAAATACTATCTGGTCATTGCTTTCCATCTGTGGTGTTAATGACCTATTTGAAGCTACAGTTAATTAAATTACAGTATATGGCATCTTGGCTCCATGACTTCCATTACAGCGAATGAAAACTGTTGAAGCGCGTTAAGTCATAGCTGCTGGCCGTTAGTGGGATATCTTGGGTAGCGGCCCTTGATCTCGGGGGACACAGTATCCACTTCCTCCTGGTGACACAGTGATATTGGAGACTGGAGCTTAGGGCACAGCTGCTCGGCCAACCCTTACACCACTGAAACTCCAGTGCCCGGGCAGCGCTCCTGCAGCCCTCACGGCAGCCTCGCTCATCTGACATACAAGTTTCATTTAGTTCTGCGATGCCACAAAACAAAGCCTGTGTTTTTCCCCCAGTCTGGTTCAGTTACAGACACTTGTGGCCCTTTTTAGACTTTAAACTTGGCTTTAGCTTCTATTGACTTTGTTTGTTGTGTCTTTGTTTAGAAGCTGCTGAACCACAGACAGATGGTCATGGCATTAAACTACCTGCATCTGCTCTATGTATCAAACAGCTAAAGTACAATGTTTCAAACTGACATCTCTGTGTTTACCAGTTTAGCCATTTTGTCCTTTTCTAACATAAAGTAAGGTATATCCTTAATTTATCCTTCGCATTTTGCTTCAGTCCCACAGGGGTGAACTATCAGGAGCAGTGCAGCTTTAGTAAACCCCGACTAACCATCTCCAGATCTCGAGCTACTATTTTCCTTCTTTTGCTTGAGAATTTTTGGTTGAATGGGGGAAACTGTAGCCAGGCTGGCGCCACATAGTGCCTTCACTCAATTTAATTTCCCTCCAGCGACTAGGTCAGAAATCGGAATACACTAGATGGTTCGCAAAACACCCGGAAGTGCGAGTTCGGGCAAGATAGAGGATTTAAATCCGGAACAAAGAGAATATTTGGTGAATTTTATCAAGGAGAAAGTCATTATTGCCCTTCTTCCTACGGGATTGGGGAAAAGCTTATTTTACCAGTTAGCCCTCTCACAAACCAAATAGTAGCAATTGGTTAAATAAAAAGTACCTGCCTACCGTCGAGCAAACAAATTCTAACACTGCGAGGTCAGAGGGTTTCCATGAAGTGAAACCAGCTGATGGATCAGGCTAGGGAAATTGGACCGCACAGACCACCCCCATGTTGCCCTCGAACTGAACCTGGGACCATGAAGCAAAAGTGCCACCCACTCAACCACCGCACCATCATGAAATCCTTCAATTATGAGTCTGATTTCCGAAGAAAAATATTAATTATTTAGGGTTTTTCACTTGCACTGGCACAACTTTGCCTCTTTGTTGTGCTATATTTCCCTACACCCTACTTCTAAAGCAACATTAATCAATCATACTTTACTAGTTTAGGTTGACGTGTTAATATTATATTTTTAGTTCAATAAAAGTCTATTTGAGTCTCACTTCGCCCAACTGGTGTCTGACTTTTGGGATACACCTGCCGAGAGTATCATCTTCTTAAGGCTCTTCATTTTAAATCTGCCCACATTAAAGTATACAGCTGCTACTCCACACACATTCCTCCCATTCTTGTAGCTTCTCAGCGGGCGTTGCTAACTGTCTAGTCGCAGTGAATCCTGGCCTTTTGTGATAAGAACATGAAAGCGCTCATACATAGAGGTATTCAGGGCACAGGCCAAGCTCTGTTTTAACTGTAGCTAATTCACATCCACTTTATTTTATGCTTTGTATCTTTGACAGTTTAACAAATTCAGTTAACATGGCGCTGGGTCCAAACTGTGTTGCAACCCAGAGGCAGACACGGCGCTGGCAACTTCTCACCCCTTATCCTCTTCAATCAGCATTAGTTTCTTGGAAAGTTGAATCATGTATCCTAATCCTTCTGACATGACGCTGTGAAATGGCCGTAAACAATGAGAGAGCATCTGGTTTCAGTCAAACGTCTCACCTGTATTTGCTCTGGATCTGCCGTCACGACATCCAGCCTCGATTGAGACAGTTCAACTATTGTTTTATTGTTTAGATAATTGGACAGACGAAGGACAAAAGGCAGGGTCCACGGTCCATGATTATTGTGAGAATAAACACAGTGGCACAGTGGCACAGTGGCGGAGTGGTTGGCTCTCTTATCTTAATGCAAAAAGGCTGAAGAGACAACAGTGAAATCCTTATATTCTGACATTCACATTGCCATATAGAACACCATTGCTCTAGTGCACGCATGTCCAAACTACAGCCCGTGGGCCAAATGCGGCCCTCAGAAAATTTTTTCTTGGCCCTCAGGCTTCCAGGTGAATTGGCCCAAATTACCTTACATCAATTAATAATTAACTTTTTACTTAAAGTTTTTTGAAAATCTACCTTGATAAAGATTATTTCTAATATTTAGTGTGTGGTTTTAAGGATCTTAGAATGAATAAAAACTGATGGATTATTCTAATGTGTTAAACATGCACATGCTTCAATGATTCACTGTATTCAGCACCAGTCTGCGGCCCTCGATCGACCCTCTGTTTCATCTGTGTTTAGATATGTGGCCCTTTATGAAAAAAGTTTGGTCACCCCTGCTCTAGTGTGCATGTTGTGAATTTAGATTCAATTGAAAAGGCATATTTTTTTCCTTCTGAAATTGTCACTATTATTTTTCTAGTCAATATCATTCTGTTTTGACCTGGTTAATCACAATTATTGGTTAATCATAATTTAGACTTCTCAGTAGCAACACCCTGGTAGAGCTTCTTCTCCTCCTGGACATCATTACCACTATAAAGAAAAAGAAAAAACATATGGCATGCAACTCAGGCCTTGTGGTCATTGTCTGCTTTGTGTATTATCCAAAAATGTCTTTTATTATGGTAGGTTTTGCTTTTTATTACGCATCTTTCATGGGGAATAAATAGCATATGATTGTCTTTGTTGCATCGAGGAGAAGAATGCAAAAGCCACAATAGAAAACAGTGGGGTAGTCATACTGCTATATTTATCATAAGGCTCTTTTCTATGGTGTTAATGTGGGATTTTTTTGCTCCTTGTTTCACTCAAGAATTTTGTTTTTCTCTATCCGATGATTGTTTTTCACATTTGTGCTCAGACTTACATGTAAATCTGACATGTGGTTGCATTGAGTAAGAAAGCTGGCACACGCTAGGGTTTGGAAAATACATAAACGCCCCAGCCACGTTTTCCTATTACTTTCCACAATACATAATTAATTCAGTGGTTTAATTTAGTTTGAAGCGTTTTAATTCATTTGTAAAAGACAATTAAATAATTACTTTTAGCAGGGAGCAAGGGCAAGTCATTTAATCCATCTGTCACCCACTGCGTTATGCACTTGCTACAAAGAAAGCAAGAAAGCATACTTTTATACATATTGGTGGGTTTCAGATAGAAAGTGGTGATGCCATAGTCCCAGATGGGGGTCAAGAGTGTTTTCCTTATTAATTACAATGTTCTTTAACATGAAATATCCAAAAGGTAAATACACAAAGATCACTTCTATAATTGACTAGACCCCAGAACTCATTACCGTATTTTCCAGACTATAAGTTGCTCCAGAGTATAAGTCGCACCAGCCAAAAAATGCTCAATGAAGAAGAAAAAAACACATATAAGACAGACTTTTTGGTGTAATGTATTTTATAAAATCAGAGACCAGGAACCAACATTTCATCTTGAAAGGCAAATTGTAGTAATAACAATAGAATAGAGAACAACAGGCTAAATAGGCGTTAATATGTTATCGTAACATATTAACAGTTATTCAGATCACTATAGCATAAACAACAGAACATTAGTTTACCAAACTCACAATCTCACTCCAAATCACCAAATCCATTGAATTCTTCCTGGGTGTCACTTCTGTGTGACCTCCGGAGATAAACCATAGATCCATGAGGTAAATGGAGCTCCACTTCCTCTTCTGCGTCGCTGTTGTCAGACTCAGCATCAGTTCCAGTTAGAATTATTCCAGCCTTACTGAATCCTGACAGGATGGTTTCGGTTGTCATTGAAGTTCAGGCTTTGTCGATTCATCCATTGACTTCCAGGAAAGTTGCATGGCGCACCCGCCCAGTTGCCGTGAAGCTGTGTTCTCTCCATCCATTCTTTCCACCAGTCCCTCACAAGTTTCTTGCTCACTCCAAACTTTCTTTCTGCTGCTCAGTCACCATTTTCAGCTGCATTTTTCACTATCTGCAGCAGAACAATGACTTTTTCTGCAGGATTCATGCGCAGTAGAATGCGAAGTGACAGTGGTACAGGAGTCGCAGATACTGACACACAAAACTGAGCGCGTTCTTGCAGCTGTCAATCAGTCAGAAAATTTTAATATATAAGTCGACCCAAATCATGAAAAAAGCGCAACTTATAGTCTGATAAATACGGTATATTAAAACAGGAATCTGCATTTTAACAATTCATTTTAGCTGCCTAAGTACTGTATTGAATATTATTGGCCTAGAAAATGCAATGTGATGTCATCTAAAAGCCTTGCCTGACAGTTCCTTGTAAATTACATATACAGGAAATGTCGCCTAATCAAAACCGCTGTATTGCTGGGTTTCAGTTGCATTGTCAGACGACTCAAACCCAGCAATACAGCCAAACTGTAGAACTGCAAGATTAAGCCAAAAATTGTGATTACGAATTACGATTATTTGGCTCATAACTGAAATCATGATTATTTCAAATGATTACTTGTATACAGGAAAAAAACAAACACATTATACTTGTGTTTTTTGAAAATAAAATGGTTTGTTTATATTACAATTACACTTATATGATCCAGTCCGCTTACACCACTTACTGGAAAACCCAACGTAGTTATCATGTGTTTTGTATGATGGGTTGAATAGAAGTAGGCTCCGATATACTTGTCAGATTGGATTTTCCTCTGTGTCAAAGTCATGCAACATTATGGTCAAAGTTTACGTGTTTAAGCTGGTAAGCATTTAGAGTGACCACTGCAGTACTGTTTCTCTCTGACATGTCGACATCAAAAGCCGGAGATTTAGCATGTCACCATTAGCTAATTATGACTTTGGGACAGACCTTCACTTGAACAGTTTAAAGCCGCCCTGTCCCACAAGATGAAGGGGCAAAGATGAACTCAGATGGGGGTACCAGAGGCATAATAGCCCCTTGAGAGTGCTACCATGTGTGAGTGCCCCGTCTGGATGCTGTCTCATTCAATGACAGATGCCCTAGAGCTGCCAGGGTCAAAGTCCAGGCTCCAAAACTTCCACAAGAAATGATGTCTGTGAGGCTGGACCAGTGATGTCAGCTACACTGTAAAAGTTGAGCCTCAATTTAGAGCTAAGAGTTGTTTTGACTAGATAAGATTTAGAGATGTTAAGATTATTTTGTTAATCAGTTATCAAAATAGTTTAGGTCACAATTAAACAGCTATGTACAAAAAATTTAATCACTTCAATCCAATCTACACTAAAAAGTAAATAAGTAAAAAAAAAAAAAAAAAAAAGTAATTGCTTTCCAAATAATTTCACTTGATCCAAATAATTTCCCTTGTGGATCAATAAAGTTTGTCTAAGTCTAATGTTACCATGTTATAGGCTCAGTATATAACTTTTTTATCAAACTAAAAAATGTTTAATAAAAATGTTTTGTTTTTTTTCCCCCATTTTGGTTGTTTACAAAACTGACTCCTTTTTGGCCTGTAATATTTGTCCTGCCTGATTCCACAAAATTGTTATTTGGCGTAAAAAACATCGGTTTCTGTGGAATCGTGCTGGTGACATGCCTCCTCCAGAAAGTTACATTAAGAGTTGTTCAGTAAATTCCACAAATTTCAACGCCTAGATATGAGTTTTTTGCAGTGTAAATCCAGTGATGTGGTCAGTAGCCGGGTACAAGCAGGAGCAGTGTTGGTTTCATGGATGAGAGGATGACAAGTGTTATTGGCACAGAGAGAGCAGGTCACCTTTGATCCTTCAGCTCCAGCCTTGTGCCCTCACAGCTGTGTTTGCTCCTCTCAGACACTGCACGGCCTGTCCACTTTCTCTGCCTCATCTGTCTCCTTCTGCAGCTCTGACACGGGACCCCCCCAAACCTGGCTCCAAAATACACACTGAATGTAGTTGGCTGTGAAATATTGAAAGAGAATACTTACAGCTTTTTGTATTTTTGGTGTTGATGCAAGAAATGGTTCAGTAGGACAGTTGTCATGGGGAATAATTATTCTTATAACTTTTTAAAATTGATACAGTAACAACATTTGTGTTTCTTGCTTCGTTCCTTCTGATATGATTTATTTTTCCTAATTTTGTTGTCAGTATTTATGTTTTGTCTTCTTTCATACGTTAACTTGAAATCAGGCTGTGCAGTTATTTGAATTTTGATCACGATTTCCATTTGTGCGTCAAACGATCTCCAAACTCATATAACAGAGTTGAAACGAAAGCTTAACAAAGGGATATTTTTTATATAAATTATTACTATATAGTATTTCAGTGTGTGTATATATATATATATATATATTTTTTTTTATATATATAGAGATTGTAGAACATCTGGATATATAGTTTATTTTGAATACATTTCTGTTTTTCTATGCCTTATTTCATATTCAAAGTACATTTTATTCATTTTATGTTTTATACATTGCAACTCCTCTAAGGTACTTATTTGTAGCCTATATTTATTTTCAGTTTGAAAGTTTTGCGTAGATTATCAATAATAAATGTTTTTTTGAGAGAGAGAAATGCTGAATAAATGCGGCGTGTAACTAAAAAAATAATTGTTTGAATAATCATGATTTCAATATTGACCAAAATAATCGTGATAATGATTTTTTTCCATAATCGAGCAGCTCTAACTTTAAATGAATAAAATACTCATACTTTGCCAATTTATGGCCCCTCCACCCACCTCTGGATGTAGGTAGCTAAAGGAGTTTTATCAGTAAGTCTAGAGATCAGGCTAGCTATTTATTTTGTCTGAGAAAATCTGATTGATCCTTTAAACTAACTAATGCCACATTGATTTCTCTGCCATCATTTTACTCTGTCACTTTAGATATTGACTTCTTTAATAGGACTTAACCACATTTAAACCAATGTTGTAAATGTCAAACTTTTTCACTGAACGTGCTATTGTCCTTTATCTTTGCAGACGCACATATCCCGCTTGCCTCCTGGGACTGTCCCCGGTCAGTCTCTCGCCATCGAAGGGGGCGTCTGTCGGCTCATGAACTCCTCAGACTGACCCACGGCTGCCCTGCTCCACACCTTGGTCTAAATCCCGATCCACACCCTGGTCTACTGGGCTCCCACAGCAATACTCTTATTCACTTACTCCCCCCTAAACCCCACTCCCTCCCCCCTGTAACGTTCCACTACCACCACTTTAGTGAAGCCACACGTAATGAGCTTTAGCTATTGCAACAGGTGCCCGGAAAGAAGGGATGTTTGCTTACTTACTTACTTACTTAACTTTGTAGTGCACTTAAAGAACTTCCTTGTGTTCCAGCATGTTACTCTATGCCATTTCCCTTCCTCTCCCAAAAGCTTTTCTTGGGACACCTGGATGAGACTTGATGCTCCATATTTTACACGTACTTAAACCCCGTTAGTGGCATTTTGGTTTTGTACATAAGCTATTATTATTTAGGAAAGCAGGGTAATCTGTGAAGTCCATTTATAAGAGTGATTTGGTTTTGAAATGACTTATTTAACTGGTTTGCTACACCATGCTGAATGCTTACTAGTCCAATGTGAAGGGAAATTATGCATACTTGCCATATTACTTTCTCACTTTACATATATTATATTGTTTCTCAGATTGTAACAGAATCGTGATTGTTCAGTTTATCATAGGTCATAGACTTTGCCTTGTTTTTATTGTAAATTTCTTTCGCATGCATATATCTAAAATAAGCCAGATTTACAGTAAGCTATGCATATATGGAGTGATTCGTAGAGCTCAGGTAGCAGCTGCCAATCTTTGACTGTTAATATCACCTGAATTTGTTATCAATTTTGTATAGTCACACTTTAAAAAGTTTTTACAAAATTTTATGTTTCGAAAGCCCATGTAATGGTGCTGGTAAATTGTACTTGAACGGTGTGATGGTGAAATTGATAATAGTGGTAGGACTAAGCTACTCTAGAGCTTGTACTTGAAATTACAGCTAATATAACTATAAGCTATTGTAACTGCACAGCTCTTAACAGTGCTCACAAGGTCAATAAACCTGTCTTGTTACAGTTTTGGTCAAAATTGTAATCTTTGTTTAATCCAGTATTTCTTCTTTGATTCCTAGTAATGTAAAACCACTGTATGTTTTACTATTTCCAGACCATTTCGTGAAAACCCAAACAGACTGCGTATATATAGACTGCTCTGTAACTGCCAACATCATAGTGCCTGGAAATTACATGTTGAATGCAAGAGAAAGAAAGCTGAGAAACCTTTCAGGCTGGAAGTACAGCGTATGACTACCTTTACCTACTGCATTTAAACCATGTCAAATAATAAAAATAAAATGGTCTGCTAGTGTGTGTGTACAATGAGCCATCAGGTATAAGCACTGATACAGGACAGATCAATAAAAATGTCTCCATGGAAAGAAGCGTGTAGTAGAGCCCTGATATTTTCAACAGTATGACATTAGACTTACCTATTTTGCATTGTATTGCTTATATACACATTGAAAAACATGCATTCTTTCTATGATTGGTGTCACCTCTCCACAGGTCTGACCTATAACTTGGCCTGGTGGCACTACTTGTTCATTTCAGGCAAAACAATAGTATCACCCCAGTCAAGCAGGAAATAATGGTCCTCCAGTATATTACACAAAAATTGAGCTTGGAGCCATGTTAGAATGTAGCCAGGCTGGTGCCACCTAGTGTCTCCGCTCAATTTCATTTCTCTCCAGAAACTAAGTCAGGAATCAGAATACACTAGACCAAGAGTGTTCAAACTTTTTTCATAAAGGGCCACATATCTAAACACAGATGAAGCAGAGGGCCAATTGAGGGTTGTAGACTGGTGCTGAATACAGTGAATCATTGAAATATGTGCATGTTTAACAAATTAGAATGATCCATCAGTTTTTATTCATTATAAGATCCTTAAAACCTCACACTAAATATTAAATATTAAATATTATCTTTATCAAGGTAGATTTTCAAAAAGCTTGCAATAAAAAGTTAATTTTTAATTGATGTAAGGTAATTTGGGCCAATTCACCTGGAAGCCTGAGGGCCAAGAAAAATTTGTCTGAGGGTCGCATTTGGCCCACGGGCCGTAGTTTGGACATGCCTGCACTAGACGGTTTGCAAAAACCCTGGAAAAGCTTAATATACCAGTTAGCCCTGTTAGCAGTGCATTACATACATCATGACCAAATAGCAGCGTTTGGTTAAATAAAAAAAGTACCCCGCCTACCGTCAAGTGAACGAATTCCAACGCTGTGAGGTCAGACGGTTTCTACGAAGTGAAACCTGCTGATGAATCAGGCTTGATATAATGCTGTTACCTCATCAAAAGCATACATGGTGCTGTGTTTTGTTCCACATTATCACTCTGTTTACATCTCTAAAGCTCAAAATGCTCTGTTCCACCTTGTGATGTCATGTAGTAGCTCAGCCATTAAGAGTGTTTGTCCACTGGTTCGAATACTGCTCTCAACATAAAAAAAAAAAAAAAAACACATCATCGGCTGAGTCACTGACCCACAGGTTGGTGGTGTGATTCCAGCTGTTGTTGTGTCCTTGGGCAAGACACTCAACCCACCTTGTCCCCAGTGTCTGTGAATGGGTGAGTGATTCCTTGTTGTAAAGCTCTTCGCGTGCCTCAAAGGTGGAACAGCTCTATATAAAAATGTGACTGTTTACCATTGAGTTAATTCTTTTCCTTTTGTTTAGTAGAGCAGTTCCAGGGAGGCTGAAATCATCCAAATGATTCTAGTGAAGGTGTATGGAGATTAAAAAGATTAAAAAAACAAACAAATGACCTCACATGGTGGAACAAAGTGTTTTCTTTTTAAGAGAAGAACTCTGCCTACATATATTTTTTTTGTGTGTTAAACGTGTGAATGAAACAAAACACAACTCGAGGTATGTTTATGATGAGGAAACAACATTATAACACAGATGAAAAATAGCAGAATATATTCCGTTTAACAGCAGGCTAGGAGATAGACCGTGTATATCACTACTGTCTCCGTCCAGTCTGTTTGTCTTTCAGGTGTAAAATGTCCCGTCTCTCCTGACATCACTCAGGCCCAATGCGGTTGACAGCTGTGACGGTCCGGCCGGCAGAGGGGCTTGTGTAATGAGACAGGGGGCTGCGCTTGTGTTTGTTTTGGCTGCTCGTGACCCTGGCTTGATCTTGAGGCTCCATCTTAACGGGATACGCCTGTTACCTCCTCGCCCCGCACCCACCCCACCCCACTCCACACCATTAGCTTGATTATAACCTATTACAGCTCGCCCCCTTCTTTTCATCAATCTGTGTTGCCGGGAGACCCTTCAGCTCTGTTTTAAAGACCTTTTCCAACATCCAACCTTTCTTTTTTTTCTCTTTCTAGCTCTTCTACCTCTCTTTCTCCCTCTCATCTTCTCTTATTGTTTTTACTCCCTCTTTCTTTCACTCACCTACTATGTATCTCCCTCTCTACCTTGCTTTCTCTCATCTTTTTTTTGTTTTCTACTCTCAATTTCTTCCCATTTTCTACCGCCTCTCAATCTCTTCTACTCTTTTTGTACAATCTTCTCTATCTCTCCTCCTCTCACACTCACTCAACCACCCTCTTCTCTCTCTCCTCTCTCCTCTCTCCTCTCCCTTCGCTTTGAAAACAGATCCCAGGTCTTTAAAAAGTGGATGGGACTCCTGAACCATTCAAGGTGTATCCAATGCCCCGCGCTCAGCAAGCCTCTTAAATGCAAAACAGACGGCGCAGCAAATAAAGATCAAAGGCAGTGCTAGCCTCTCCTGCCCGACCCGCTGTCCACACATGCCAACCGTCCCCCTCTTGCCCCCTTTTCTCCCCCTTCTCCTCTCTTTCTCTCTCTCTCTCTCTCCTGTCATAGTCCTCAACTCAGGGCCACCAAACCCCCCATGACACTGTTACAGCTCTCAATGTCAGCGTTTATGAGCCAGGCACACAGGGTTAAAACTGGAGCGTGTTTGTGGATCTCATTGTCACATAAAGGCAGCAGTGACCCTGGGGATAAGCTACAGGCTAAAACTTCTGTTGGCCAGACTTGAAGCCATTTTGTATTTAGCTCGTAGTTATTCTTTACTAAGTTGTCATATTGTCTTGGAGTGATTTATGGCAATGCCGTGCTTTGATTTGAGATAAAAGAGAGTCCTAAGCATTCAGATTTGGGAATGGTATGTCTAAATTTGACATACATCAGCTTTTAATGTGCAGATAAAACTCTACAGACTCAGCCACCTGCCGCTGTGTAATGCCAAGTGCTTGTGCGGTGGTTCATTGGTTTGATAATGCTTTACAGTCGTTTTTGCTGTTCTCCTCCATTTATCCAGGCTTGAAACTGTCACAAAGACTACACTTGCGAGTTAAATAGGGAAATAAAATCTGAATTTATATTTTGTTTAGACTGAGAAGTTATTGCTTTCTTTTTTCACTATGTAACTTCTCTGGAATGCCACTTCACTGCCACCTTTTTGTCTCCATGGAAACTTTATGTGGAATGTCCCAGAGTATGACACTGAACCAAATTGATCTATCTTTCTATCTTCAATCTTCAATCTATCAATCTATCTTGCATTTATCTGATTACATGCCTTTTTACTGCTGAAAAATCCATTGAAAAGTGTGCGTTCTTACTGAGAGAGGGACACTTTAAACAGATCTGACCTGTAACTTGGCCCTGTTGCATGACCTGCCATCTCCATGGAGACATTTAAAGCCATACTTGGAACATTCCATGCCATGCAATAAAATTTCCATTGCAGACGATCAAATGGCAGGCTCTCCACCAGACAAGTTACATGTTTTTTTTATATTTAATTTTGTATTTGTGTATTTATGACAGTAATAACAACAAAAATTTGCCCAAAAAGGAGTGGAAAGAAGAAAACTTTTTTAATCCCACCCCCACTCTTCTAATCTAACGCAATGAGCTTTCTTTCAGACATTTTACATGAAACTATATGAACTAATTACAAGTGCGGACACAGAGTCATTGTTATATGTTGGTAACTTAACTGTACTGCAATGATACAATGGTAACAGCAGATACAAGTAATGGACGGCACATACCACTAATGGTAAGGAAACAACAAGCATAAACAATGCTACATAAGGCAGTCTCATCTCAAAATTAAGACCCACTCTCTATATACTGTGACCATATGTTTATATAACAACTTGAATTTATGGATATTTTGGCATTGCGTGGGATGTGTATTCAGACTGTTCCAGAGTTTTACACCACTTTTATGGATAGTTCGAACATTGAGCAATTTGAAATTTCCATCTCCTCTTAAATTATGAGTTCTCTCTCTCATTTTGAACAAACTTTGTAAATTACTTGGTTGTAATTGTTGAATGCTCCAAATAAAATGACCAGTGTATAATATTTTACAGTGTCAGGAATCTTTAGGTGCTTGGATTGAATAAAAAAGTTATGGGTGTGTTCAGAAAATTCCAACTTTATGGATAATTTGCAAAGCTCATTTCTGTAACATAATCAGTGGATTAACTGTACATTGGTAAGTGTTCCCTAAGGCAGTCATAAAGTAAATATTGCAACATTCAACTTGACGTACAGACGTAAGATTAAATGTGTGTTAGAGCCACATATGAATAATCAGATGTTGAATTCCCTGTTTCACACACTCCTCAAATGTACTTAGTTCCAGTGCGTCCCAGTGCAGAGGTTAACTAAGGCCCTCTCAGATGCTCCACAGCTACTTGACCTGTTTGTTCAGCTGTACGCCCGACCGCATGTTGATGCCCCTCGCTCTTTTCTCACATGCCTCTTTTTAAAGCCTGCATTCTTATTGTGAGTGGGCTTGCCTCTCCACAGATCTGACCTGTAACTAGGCCTGTTGGATTCTTCAGGCCTCTGAGATAGATATGTTTAATGGCATGCTGTAGAAGAGTTGTGATGGTCCCCTCACCAGAAAAGTTACATAGTGCAGCTTTAAATTGCATACAATAAAACTACTCCAAGGTACATTTTGTTTTAGTCACTCATCTGTCTAAGTACCACACCTATTCTGCAATATCACATTTTGGG